GGGGGGGGGGGCGATTCCTGATAACTCGACCTTCGGATAACTCGAAACGATTTGCCCGGTCCCTAAAAGTTCGAGTTAACGAGTTTTCACTGTATTTAGAAGGACGAGCACGAGCAAGAAAAATTACTAGCGCAACACCAATATATGAAGGAGAGATTTCTCAGCCATTGGGCGCCCTCAACAGTTTTAGCTGCAAGACTGCCTTAGACTAAAAAATACACCAAGTAGAAATTTCGGATAGGCTGAAGCAAAGGACTCGCTAAATTTGCAAAGTGATGTGAATTTTCAGTAAGGGGGGATGCTCCCTCAACTCCCTTTTAAATGGAGACTTCGCATTTGTTTCTCTACCCCTCTTTCTACCCCCCTCCCCATCCCATTCTTCTTTGACCCTTTCCTTCTTCCTCACGAGCGTGGGATATCTGAAATTCTCAGAAATAAAGAGATTTGAGAGAAAAAAGTGTTATAAATTAAAAAAATGTTATGAGTAGACGAATGCGGAGAATGTGCATCCAACGAAAATGCCGAGAAGGGAAAAATATTTCGCTTCGAATTGAGAGTAGTTTATTTATATTTATTTACAAGATGTGGCAATTAAAATTAACAATTTTAAATTGCGATTTAGAACTGCGCGAAACGATTTTCTGGACTACCCTAGAATGAAGGGATCCCTTCAACAGATTTTGAACAAATGTCCTGTCCCAATACCATGTTCCGTTTCATGTCCCCCAACTCCTGCTTATGCGACGTCAATAATCCAGAGCCCTAATTAAAACGAGCTAAACAATTAGTCTCAGCAGAAACCTCCCAGAGCCCACATTCTCCCTTTAATCCAAACGCCTTTATTCGTAGCTCACGTTAATATAAAAGCATTCTCGTTCAGTTAATCTGGGCTTTCATGGATACGAGGTAGATGATTAAACCCTGGCTGAAATATGGGATTTATTTTCCCCCCTCAAAGGCATAGCACCCCTGGAAAAAATGAGCTTCCGGTCTCGTTATTTTGAGATCTATCTCTTCATCTCCCCAAAACCCAGAGCAAAAAAAAAAATCCAATCTCTCAAACCTCCCACCTTTTCAAACCCTTTCTCAAAGAAAAAATTTCGCCCAGGGTCGGGGTAATGCCTGCGTTCCTTACATCGATTACTGCAGTTCCTATGGATAATGCCCTTTCATTGAAGATTGCTGTCCACTCCCACGGGACCCAATGTCACTCTCTTCAGAATGACATCAGGTAAGAATTGGAAGCGGGAAAACGGCTCTCCAAGCAGGAAGTTTTAAAAATCCTTTGAATTTTCGGTATGGAAGTTTCTATACTTGACTATCTACAAGGTGCAGAGTCCAATTCGTGGTCGATTGAAGTCAGGTGTTACGTCAGTATCTTTGGAACTGCTTTCTATTATCTATTTTGAGCAGGGCCGTTTCTAGGGGCGGCCAAGCGGGCGATCGCCCGGGGCGCAAGCGGGGTAAAGGGGGATGGGAGAGGGCGCCAGAGTGGTAAAGGGGGGGGGGGCGCCGTTGGAACTTCTTGCCCTGGGCGCCAACACGCCTAGAAACGGCCCTGATTTTGAGGTATGAGATTGAAGCTGGCCCTCAATAATTCCAAGACTGTCTCGATCCAATAATCTCAGTAGTCACAACTCACCCAAAGCTCTCTTCACCGCACAGAGAAAGTCTGCCAGCATCCATAAGATTTCCAAAGTATTTCCAGCCAGTAGGAACTTCAAAGAACTCCTTCCCAGTCTTTGCAGCCACACTGGAAGCAACCAACAGCAGGAATACTTACAGAAGGAAGGGATACCTCACAAAGATGACAAAAAGGGATAGGCCTCACCGATCAACAGCAGCAGCTGTGGGCATGCTGCGTGCATAGCCCTTCACTCCTGTTTTCTGAAAATATGGAATACATTCCAGATTGGCTGCAATCACGGCCAGAGAGTCCGAGGGAGTGACAAAGAAGGCCTTATATCCCAGGATCATGTTCCGGTCCTTTGATATGCACAAGATGAGCCTGCTAGCAATGATTAAATCAACACAAAAAATAAAATAACTGGAATCTTTGACTCACTCCATCACCATCAAAGGCTGCCCCAAGCCCATAGTCTCCTGTCTCCATTGCATTCACCAGATCAGCTGCATAGGTGAGATTTGGGTCTGGATGAAGTCCACCAAAATCCTCCAAAGGCGTTGTGTTCACAATGCTGTCTCCAGAAGCTCCAAGCTCTTCACAGAAAATTTTCTCCACATATGGACCAGTAACTGGAGGAATCAGCCAAGAACAGAGATGACTAAGTGTCGCTGTGAAAAAAGTGATCTGAAACATAGCAATTTGATACTCCAGTGCATGTCTTGAAAATTTTCCATCATTTGTGTCTGATTGAATGCCAAGTAAGAGATGTACTTGGGGATGTTTGGGGTTGTAGTTGGGATGTTTCATCCCAACTGCTCCAGAGCAGTTGGGATGAAATGACCAAAAATGAAGAGGAAAAAGGTTTAACAATTTTTTTTTTAGGTGGGAACCCACTGTCTTACCTCCATGCATGGAATTGACAAGTATCTTGAGTGGGGGTCTTCCACCTCCCCCTGTTAAGAGATTCTTGATAGCATGAAAATCAAAGATCTCCTTCATGTGGGCAAGATAATCAGCCACTGAATCCAGGATTTCTACCTCAAAGTCTCTTCCATCCACCTGCAATCAGTTGAGAAACTGTCAGACCAGTACTTGACCTTTTATAGTCCATGACATCATGCTTGGCAAGTTTCAGATCAATGCCTACCTTGAAAGCCTGCTTCCCAATCGCTGAGAGATCACAATGAAGAGCTGGAACCAAATGGTATTCTGTGATCTTCTGTGTGAGGTCATATATGTGATTTGTTACTCCATCTGGTGCAGGGCCTCCATTGGAAGTATTGAACTTGATACCAAAATCAGCATCAGGACCACCTGGGTTATGACTGGCAGTGAGGACAATCCCTCCATCAGTTTTGTACTTCCTGATGATTGATGAAACGGCTGGAGTTGACAAGATCCCATTTTGACCAACAAGAAGTTTCTTCACCTAATACATAAGCAAGGAATTCAGCAGTAAGTACAGAATCTAAGTTACTCATAAGGACAAAACGCATAGGCCTAGGCCTAACGTTTCACAGCGAATGAGAAGAAACAATTCCTAAAAGCAAACAATAATGATAAACATTAGGATAACGACGTTAAACCTAAGCCTGCTTTAGTTTTGGCAAGGCCAATCGTGGACTATCACATAGAAACTGACTCCGTTGGCAGCAGCAATCTTAATGATCTTCAAGGTGGCTGCTTTCCCATAATATCGCCCATCTCCTCCAACGACCAGCGTGCAGTCCTTCAACTTCTCTCCAAGGGAAGACAAAATGCATTGGACGAAATTCTCCGTGTAATGTTCCTGCATAAACACCTTGACGGCCTTCCTCAGCCCGCTGGTGCCAGGCTTCTGGCCGTCGATCGGCTTCGTGGACACCTTCACGGAATGCATGAGTCCCTTCCAAAGCCACGGAAATACAGAGAAACACAAAAGGTGATGGAATGTAGGGACGCGGGAGTTTGGACGAGGCAGAAGCTGTCTTCTCGTGTCCCTTCCTCGACCGATTCAACCTTGAACGCAAGCGCCCGCGTGGGTCGGCCTTGCTCACTATCATAACGTTTCACTCTCTTGGCACCCTAGCCAAAGAACGGTTCTCTAAATATTACCCAGATGTCGGGAGCAGGTCTCTAGCGCCAGAGGACAGCTTCATTTGTTCCGAGTCGTTTTATAGAGGTTCTCACACGGGCATGCTGTTATTTTCTGCTGGAAAAAACTTTTAATTTCCCGTTTGGGAATTATCTCCTGGAATGCTTGTAGGGTTGCTTGTCTCTAATTCTCCACACTAGAGTTATTATTGCATGAATTCTGGATGACACCTCTCATATAGATATTTATTTTTTAAAATGCTGTCTGTCAAGAATATCCGCGATTATGGGGCAATTGTGAAAAGCACCACAATGGGCGTTTTTTTGCTTGAATGTTCAGGCGTTTGCATTTGGAAATATGTGGTCGTGATGCACTTTCCTCCAAGGATTCTCATACCTTTCTGGCAATTTTCGACATCAGTTCGTTTCACTCTGTTCTTGTGTACTTTTCAAGTTTTTCGGGCTTAGCTAAGACGAGTTGCCCCATGAAAAGTCCCACTTGGAAACATTAGTTGGCTCCTTCGGCAAATACGGACAATTTTCCAGATGATCCTCAGATGGAAAGTTACACGATTTTTGACGGGAATGCTATTTCTTCCAGTCTGGAAATGAATTTGGTTTCGTACCTGACTTTCAGAAAGTGATTGCATAAACTCGTGCATTTCTTCTAATGGATGGACAAGCCCTCAAAACTAAAAAAAAAAAAAAATTGCAAAACTCCTATCGCGCGCGAAATAGGGCTAAGAGGGCTGGGAACTCGGTCAGATGTTCAAGAACAAAAGCCCCTCCTTATTTTCTTTGCGGGACTCATATAAGTTACTGCGACCATTCCGAAAATATTCAGCATCTCAGCTGGCTATGAAGATTAGCTTAATTCAGCTATTACGAGATATTTCCACCTTGTCCCAGCCAGAGCACATACGGGATCCAGCTGGAATTTTCAACTGGGTGATTCATGGCCTCACCCTCATGCCGTCAGACGGATTCATGCCTCCATGCCCATCACATCTTATCACTGAAGGCCTTTCTGCGTAAGTAGTTTTTGCATAACCATGAGAAGCAAAAGACTCAGAAGAAGAGACAAAGATGAACAGGACGAAGAATCGCAGAGCCAGACCAAGGTAATCATAGAACAGCGATTCCCAAACTGCGTGCCGTGACCCACTGGTTCAATGTGAGTCTCGAGAAATCTCCCCTTATAAAAAGAGATCGATGTTTTCATATAGAGAAGAATTCCGCATTGAATTGGCCTTTATCAGACAAGACCAGCAGCCGCCTACTTCTCACTAGCTCCTGATCTGCAGAACAGACCTGAGTTTTTTGCACTTTACTTTTCCTGAAAAGTCCTTATTCTGAATTGTCATGATCGCTGCACATTTTTCTTCTTTTTTTTATAGTGGGCAAGGGGGTCGCGATTATTGAGGTACCCGCTAGCATCCGAGAGCCAAGGTGCATCCACTTTAGAGAGGCGGCGCCCTGAATAACCGACTTGGGCTGCAAGCATCCAATACGCTCTCATCCGGGAATTGGTGAGAAAGACAGGACAAGGACGACTTGAGAAAAGAGAGAAAGAACATTTATTGCCCGATCCACCCGCCCCCGTAGAGGAATGGCGAGGCAGATGATCGCTGCCAATAAACCGGCTGTCGTTCAGGCTAACCATTCAGAGCGACGAAGAAAAACACTTCGCGTCATGAAAAACAGCATCCTACGTCCGTAGCCCTCGGTGGAACCCCAAAACATCCTGGAAAGATCATCGCCTTTCCCTGAAATAATAGCAAGACCTGCTATTCAACCCATTGCTCCTATTCACGAGTCCCCGGGGATGAGCCTCCTCTATTTATATTTATATTTTCTTTACCAAAGTGGGAGCAACAATATTTCAAGATTTCACATATTCATGTCCGCTGTGACCATCTTTGAATGTGACATCATGAAGTTATGATTCCCTCGACATCATTGTTTAAGGACCATTAGCCCACACGCCATAAAGACTTCAGAATAGGAATTCATCAAATCGAGTCCCCTGGGGAGTGATGGACTGAGGCAGCAAAAGATGGTGAGAGTCTCCACGGCGTCTCATCCTGCTCCGATCGCTCCTCCCCTTCCCGACCTTGTTGTTTCCGGGTGAGAAGGGAGCGTAGGGCAAGAGGGAGCAAGAGGAGGGGGATCCCACCCACGTGCGACACTTTACTGCGAGGTAGAGGGAGAAGAGACCATACTGCTCCCAAGTATAACATGCACTCTCATCTCCTCGTCCTCATCCTTTGCTTTCAGTCGTAATCTTTTCGATGGGAACCATGGTTGTCCCGATGGGGATTACATGCCGGCGACGAGGATGTCCCCTTGGAGGATGAAGACTCCGCCAAAGATGGCCACCAGGGTGATCCCACCAGTTCCCTCTCCTTCCTTCCCCACTGCGTCGTCTTAGACTATTGTTTGCAAATCGTACACGAGAGAAGGGGGAAAATTTTCGGAACGATTAGAAAAGAAAGAAAATCTCCAGGGGTATTGTTTCCAGAGAGCTGAGGCATCATTAGTTTTTTTTTTCCACTCTATCCACAAGGAAACGATACGCAATCAGCGATGATTCCTCGAGTAAAGGTGAAGAGAGGAGGACTCACTGCAGCCTCTCCAGTTTTTCAAGTCCATCGAGGTCGCGAGTACTTGGCGAACTTCTGTTGCTGAATCATTCCAGCTTAAAGTGGGCATGCATGTGAAATGCATCCGATTTCGATTTAGTCCAATCGAGAGCTGAAATTTGAGAGCGAACTCGAATCCCGGGGCGAGGAGGGGGAGGGGGGAAGGGGGGGGGGGGGGGGGGGGGGGGGGGTGCNGGGGGGGGGGGGGGGGAAGGGTGGTTCCCTCTCGGGAAGCAAATTCTATCAACGATAATAGAATTCGTTTCCAGAGAGGGAACGAAGGCCTTTCCGGGAATTAGGAGTCGAAAGTGATGATTGGGAGACCCAAAAATCGATTATGAACTCAGGTGACCCTAATGTAAATCATTGGCGTGGAATAATAAAAAAAATACATGGCAATATAAGACTGACTATTTGACTAGGAATAATTTCGAAAGGACTGATTCCAGTAACTGGAGTTTGGTCCACAGAGCCGAAGAATATAATGTTCGTTATCAAATGAGTAGGGTTTGTTACTTAGCTTTCTTTTTTGAGCGACTCGAAAACGAGCGAATTATTGCGAATAACTTTAAGAAAAAATTTGAGGCAATGTGATGCATGGTAACATTTAAAGACTATTTGCGTGCTTCGTAAAAATTCAAAGAAGTTTTCGTTTTTCGGTGCACCTCATTTAATTCATTTAGAACTATTAAAGTCATTAAATTACCTCTGATCACTGCGCTCTTCTTACTTCTGTGTGTGCAAATGTGACCCCAACTAGAGGTGTGCGCATGAGTGTTTTTCGACTCACAACCACTCAAGATCACGAGAGAAAATCCATGTTATCATTCATTTTCACGCAATCCCTTGATTCAATATCATTTGATATTCACGGATACGCACGATCATTGCGGCCGTGAATTTAGGGGTGTAGGTAGGTAGGATAATTACCTCGTACCTCGTAATGCCTCATGAGTCGTGTCACGCGTGACAGCTTACCCTTCCTCCCCCCTTTGAATATGATAATATTTCCTTCAGTTATTGTATTTTAAAATAGTAAATAGTAAGGAACTGTGTAGTAGTCAGATGACACTTGATTTACGTGGTAGTTGTTCGCAAGTTCTTTTAGAGCAAAATCGTGTCCAAGCTTTCAGAGATTGATAAAAAATCCGCGGAGCACCCTCACGCTTGGGGTGGAACTAATGAAAACACAGAGCATTTTATTTGCATAGCATGCTCGGCCGTGCAATGGCCGAACAAGGGAAGTCTGCTCTCAGGCGGCGAATGATTGAGGGATAAGAAGAGTTTTTTCTCGGTTTCTTCATGGGTTCAGGAAAAAGTTTGCGAGAGAAGGTGAAGTTTCGGACGTTCCCAAGGGTTCGAACTTCAAAGAGGCAGAATGGAAGAGTCCTATCCAAACTGTGGCATGTGTCTGGGGGAGTCAGAAACCGGCAAAGTAACTCCACCGGAAAAAAAACTCACGATCACGAGCGAGTGAATTCTATTTGCGTCACGATCACGATAAGGGCCTTCGCCGAAGCTCCGTACGAGTAACAACTCACGAAAATAGTCTTGAGTCCCGCGTGAATCACGCGTGACGCAGAACTCACGCACACCTCTAACCCCTACCCGATTCCTCAGTGGATTTTTTTTTCCCCTCGTGTTTTATGCGTTCACAGAGGGAGAAGCAACTTTCACCTCCTGCTTCTCACGATGGTCCGACACACTTAAGTCATTCTACTCCAACCTCAAGATTAAAGACCAAGACAACACAGATCTGACACTCGAAAGGTCCTGATACGCTCGGCAAGTTCTCGTTAGCAAGTGGTCAAGTGTGTACATTTTACGAATACTCGCTCGTGCGAACTTGCCAAATGTAGCAGGGCTTTAAGGAAAGGTTGAAGGAGCTATACAATTACCTAATTTAAAGCAATTACCTGAGCAAAGTCAAGCAACTCGGGCCACTTCAGGGTGTTAAAAATTTAGGAGCATAAATAAATGATGCAGGTTGAAAAGCCCATTAACTGACGTTATCCTGCAGGAGCAAAGAGCATGAAAGCAGCCGAGCACTTTCGTCTTCGTTGGAAATCAATGTGAAAGATCAGAGAAGGTACTCTGACCTGTCTGTTGCCCTTCATGAAAGGATGGAAAGAAACTTCACCAATGTGTGTTGAGAAAACCGATGTCTTCTTTTTCCTTGGCAATGCAATAAGCAACACTCAGCGATCCGTGGGAAACAAACAATGGTCGAATCTGAATTTTGATTTTTTCTCTCCCGAACTGACGGGAAGCAGAAAGTGGAAACAAAACAAGAAATAAAACAGACAAGCAAATAAACTCACTCTTCCATTCTCAATCTCTCATCCACTTTCCCAAGTAACACAAGATATTCCAGCAACGTTTAGGAAATGTTGATGAACAATGTTGCATCTATGTGTAAATGTCCAAAACGTCAACGTTGCTCAAATGTTGCGAAGGAACATTGCATTTACGTTGCAAATCGCTACTTATTCATTACATATACGTTGCAGATACGTTTCAGGATTTATGTTGCTGCAATGTTGATTAAAAACGTTGCTTCACGGGCACCTAATCTGGGTCTATATTGGCATTACGGAAAAGCGTAGGCTTCACTGGTCCTGATCAGGACTGATATTCGCCCAATATTGAATTATTTATTTCATCCTTTCGTACATTCTCATCAACAGGACGAAGCCTGTACTGGTATAACCTGTACTGGTATAACTCCATGCATAATACAGTATCTGTATCGTGTACAGGCAGGAGATAGTACATTATTGGAGGTGATCTTCCCCTGGATGTGCTAAATTGCACAATACAGGAAAAGGTCCGACCGCAATGTTCTATAGTGTCCACGAGATCAATACTTCGTTTCCTCAGCTAGAACCCAGGATGAGGACATGAAGTATTGATTTCGCAGACTCTCTACCATCGTTTTAATTGTCCCGTTCTTGGAAAGGGTTCTTTTTGGGAATATGAGCTTTTTCTATCTTGACCCCATTAATCTGTCTAGAAAATGAAGATAACAGGTGAAGTGTCCGTGTTCATTGATTCCTATAATGAGACAATGTGAGACATATGGCAAGGTACTAGACATTCCTGTGCGGGATGATTCAGGGGAAAGGGAGAAGGGCACTTTTGTGTACTGTGAGAAAGCGAGACTTACTTCCATCTTGTGGCAAGGAGGACAACTTTACAATTCTCTAAAACTTCTAAGTCCATGTTGTATCAGAATGTTGTCGCTACGTTGTCGATGTCAAGATTCTCTCAATGTTGATAGCTAATGTTGCAATGACATTCGTAGAAGTGTCGCAGCAACATTCCAAGTGAAAACATTGAAGCAATGTTATATCAATGTTGTAGATCAACTTGCAACATAGAGCAACATAGGCAACATTACGAAAACGTTTCATCAATATACTGTGTTACTTGGGTTCTCGGGTATACATAGGTCAAGATAGAAAAATACTGCGCGACGAGATTCAATTAGGTAGGATGACTACGAGTAGGAATTTTGAGGATTAGGTGGAAGATTAGGGATCACAAGATTCCTCATTTCCATTCTAGTTTCTTCGAAAAAAAAAATCCTAAACAACGCATCACAGGCTCCTAAAATGTTTCTCAACATTCAGGGAATGAACAATGTTGTGTCATCCAAAATATCACATTCGCCACCCACAGAGGAAGAGGGAGAGGAAAGCTCGAAACATGATATTTTTCTGCCTTCGAGAGATTTCACGATTCCATCGCCATGGAACTTACATTCGAACGTTGCAGTGATTCCATGAGTTACTGAAAACTATCGATCGGCTTGAGCTGCAATCAAGGTTTAAGCAGGAATTCTTCTCTAGGAAGAGAGAGAATGCGGTTTGAAGGCTTGAATGGGTCTTAGGGAAGAGCCGTCAACATTCGTTGCGTGGATGGGTTTCATCATGACGAAGTTCGAAAGGCAGAAATAAAAAGACAACAAGAAGGGGAGAGAGAGTGTTCAGGGAAGTGGAAAACAAGGGCTGACATGGAATGGACACACTTTCCTTTTTCCCTTCTATCCTCCTTTCCACCCACGATAATGATGTCCAATAGCACCATCGTCAAAAGCGGAGGAAGAAAAATGGTCTGGTGGACTCACAATGGTCTATGATAAAAAAAAAGGAATAATGATCCAGAAGTCTTCCTGGGGACGAGGACTTCTAAACAAATAAAGCCCTTCAGATCTTGGTTGAGCGGCAAGAATCTTCCTCTTCATCGCTTCCTCCGTCTCGATTTTTTGGCTCCGACAACTCTGTTTCCCATGCAGATTAACGTTTTCTTAATTACACGCTCACAATAGGAATAAAAACAAGATCTCAATAAAGGCTAATACCGGTGAGGAAAAGGGCGAGCGAGTCTCCTTTGAGTGTTCAACGTATTTACGCTACCGGAGGTAAATGAGAAATTTCCCATCGAGGGAAAGAGGTCTCATCGCAGCGGCCTTCAGATGGCAGTAGAACGGCAATGATGGTAATCATAAGTAATGGTATTATTGAATGGCCGTGGTGGTGGAATGGTAGTGGCGTGGGGAATGGAGATGGAGGTAACGTTCCCTCCTTCCCCACACTCTTATCAGAAATTCCTCGCTTTAAATTTCACGCATTCGGTTGTTTAAACTATTATGATCGAGAATATTTTCAAGAAGGAAAACCAAATATGTTCCTTGTTCCGCGTTTGTACGTCGTAAAAATGTTGCGAATTCTAAGCAGTGGCAAACAATAAAAGATAAAGAATGAAGATCGTATGAGGAGCAGTCTTCAAATAAAAGAGACTGGCTGAGGAACAAAGGGAATGGCGCAAATTTGCGATGATGTTACTGTAAATCACCTTTGGCAGCTTCCTCTGACCAAAGCTGTCGATTTTTCGCCATCTCCAGATGCCACGGCCAAGTTTTCTTCGACGAAGACGAACCTGAATCCGTGGGAGAACGTTCCAATACATCTTTAGGAAGAAAGGATTTAAAAAAAAAGGATTAAAAGGAACTGAACGAACCGGATTGTTCCTCGGCGATGTGTTTTGTGTTGGACGGGACGAGCTTCTCCAACATGTCGCCCAAGACGAGGAAGCTGGGTTCTACGATGAAGTCGATGAAACCTGCAGAATTCAATGAATCTTTTCAGAATCGACCGAAGAAACGAAACGGACGAAAAATAATTGGTGGTGAAAATCATTATTAGCCGTTTCTCCGTTTCTTCTCTGGAGTTGATTTCCCACAGGCTTTCTCTTATATATTTTCCCGTTGAAGAGGGAATGGAAGAAAGGAAGATCATTCCTCTCCCATGGCGACTTATGTCTTTCTCCTGGCCTGGGCGATGAAATTCCCGTGAGGGTGGGGTCGAGACAAAAATAGAAACACATTCCATTCCAGCGCTAAAGCGCACACTCGCCACACTTGTCTAATTCATCGAAGCGCATGAGCGACTCCCTCCAGCAGTCGACACGTGCGGAGCTAATCTGATCCCGCAAGGCAAAAAATGGTTCATTCCAAGAGTTTGATAAGCACATTTCGATCTAATCTTAATCCTAGAAAACATGTTCCTGGTCTTCTCTTCATCTTCTCGACAACCATCATACTCAAGAGTTTTGCATTCCGATAAGAATACCTATGTATCCGATTGAAAAGAAACCGGAAATTTATTACCAGAGTGGTGGCACATTGATTGTTCTCAGATGCATTTTCTCCACGAATTGCTGCTGCTATAAGAGAGTGGCCACATAAAGTACGAGCATGAACGAAGTTAGTTTCCGAGTTTACCAATGGCTTCTGCCATATTGCCAAAATTCAAAACAAAGAGACGTTTCTAATGATATTGTTCCCTTGGCGCATTAATGGTTACTGCTGACTGACATTGTGCAGCTTCACTCCTTGAAATGACCGGGTCTATCATCAGTGAACTGTTTGGAAAATTAACCTGACGAATGAATAGCACGTGACAGACTGACGATCGGAAAGTTCCATTGACATTGACCAAATGGTTCCGCTGTTACGAGTGTTTACAATCGTGGACTTGAGGTTCGTCTCGCATGGATATTCTAACTTCTTGGCATTTGGGAGTGGCAAAATCACCAGAGCCAGTCTTGAATTCTAAATTGAATATTACAAGACTTCGAAGACATTAGGGAAAAAAATAGGCAGAAGTGGTACCAGACAGTGTTCTATATCTATCAGTTTAATGGAAAATGTGTTTGTAACGCAATTTTGCTGTGAAATCCACCTGCGTAAAATAGAGAATGAAAAATGGTTCACACACGCCAGCAACTGAAAATTTTTGGCACGTTATTCCGTAGGAAGGACTACGTCATTTGGTCGAAGGTAATGTTCTCTGGGACTATTATAATTCTTGGAGTTCTTGAAGGTGCCGGGTCCTGCCAACATCCTCACTTGCAAAGGATCGGGACTAAGGGCACCGATGATGATGAGACAAACGAAGGCCTAAGGATAAGTGGCTATTCGCTGCCTGGACAAGTCGATGAGCAAAGGTCAGACGAGGGAGAACAGAATGAAACTTTTATTTTTTTTATGGTGCATCTCATGAGGACTGTGGGACTGCACCGATGGGACCCTGTACCCTATTACTCCAAGATGAAGTACTTGATGCGCTCTCACACTGTTCTACCCAGGCGTATGTTCCCACGCTGCTGAAAACAGCATGCTCAGAAGCAAGTTCCCATGCCTAGCCAGGGTTTCCCACCTATGAGCTTTTGCCAACATGTGATACTGACGCCCTAGTTCACCGCACTCTACTATAAGACAGATATTAAACGAATTTAGGCAGGTAACAAATTAATTAAGCGTTGTCAGCCGTTTCAAGCATGTCAAACTATTGCATTGCAATGATTCCATACGAATCACTTATTTTATCATTTCTTCAGAACGTCTCAGAGATTTCAAATTGAGTCATTAGGACTGTATCCATTGTGTATTTATTTTCCTGGGTTGGCATCAATGAAAATCACTGATGCTCCTGCTTTCTTGTGGAGAGATTTTCCAACCAAAGAATTAAGACATCGAAATATTTGGTCTGTATCAGGTTTATCATGTTGTACGATGCGTAGTAATATCATTACTGTTAGGTATGCAAGTGAGCCATAAAAAATCAGCTCATTTCACTAGGAGCATTATGCATGAGCATTTTGCACGGAGAGGATTTTTAGAGGACGAGGAATCCGAAAGTTAACATTTTCCTGTGAAAGGAGGAAAGGAAGTTCTTGGGGCCAGAGCAGCGCGTGGAATCCAATTTTCTATCACCACCTGTCGAGGGTGCAATATCTGAGGGTTATCCGAGGTAGGGGATTGCACTCAAAGCAGTGTGCCCCGCCAAGTCTGATACACCCAGATACACAATATCACAACCCGCCCAGTATGGAGCATGTCTCTCTTTTTTGGGGAAGCGCTTCACCCTTTCTAATAGCAGGATTTTTTTCTCGGGAAATTTGTCGCGAATAACCCATATTATTTCGGCATCCATACTCTCCAACTTTCCCGTTACTACGCTGTTGTCTTCTACTTCTTCCATCTTTTCTTTTTTCCTCCCACCAGCAAACTTTCCTTTCTTCTTCCTCCTCCAAAAGTCCTCTCACGCAGGGGACACGGATATTGGTCTCCACAATTTCAGTCTCTCTAGACCAGGACAACGCCAACAGGAGAACGTGAGGCATTTCCTAAAACAGGATTCGCGTGGAACTCGCCCCCCCAGAGGCTACGTTCTTTCTTTGCCTAAATGTAAAAAAAATGCACATTTTCCTTCACTCCCTTGCTATCAAAAATACGGAAAACTTGCTGGCGTATTCCTCCAGGAATTAAAAAAAAGGCCCACCCTGCCAAATTAGATTACTACATTGGAGGAATGCATTGGAGACTGTGCTCCACCACGGCTCTCTGACGAGGAGCTTTTCAAGAATAAGTCCACATACACTATGGTAATTGTACTATTCTCCGTGAAACCACTGATCACCGCCGCGCGCCTTGCTTGTCAATGACCATTGCTTTTGAAGATAATTGAATATTCAATTGAAAGTACTTTTCTGCACGTTCTGTAGTAGTTCAATATTGAAGATAACTCGAAAGGCACACATTTTCCCTGGGGAAAAATTTGCCCATTGTTTGAATCGTTACATTGATTTCGCAGTTTCTCCCCCCGAATTGGTATGGGTTCGGTCTCTAGAGCATCAAGAAGAGGAAAATTCCCAAAAATGTTCACGTACTTGCAGATAAAGGAAATGGAGATGGCATGGAAATCTCCGGAAGGACGGAAGCGAATAATATGTGGACTTGGAGAACTTGGCATGAGGATGGAGTGTACCAATTATTAAAGTCAAGCGTTAGCCTGAACATGAGTTACGGAAGAAGAAAGGGCCATTCTGCTCTACGATTCATAATAAATTATTATACTGATAATGCAATTTCTTAGTCGTGCTCTTCGTGGCGCTGTTCCTTCCGGATGCCAGTAATGCTGTAAATTGACAGCATTAATACTCGAGGCAGGAGTTAATTCGCCTGAAGCCCGGATCCTCGCATGTCACTTCAGACTTATGCAAGTACAATCAAGTATGTATAATCACCCTGGAGAGCTGGGAATACTGCGCAAAAGGCAACGGTGAAAGCAAACAGACTTGCTCTTTTGAAGAAATGCAATGTGGCTTAACTGGCGTCCCCAGTGATCTTGAATGAAACGTGACCATTTTAAAGCATCATTTGTCATATGTTTGCAAGAGACTAGGCTCATACAGTGACGTGATGTTCAAATGATTCCAAATTTTTAGAAGCGACCGGAAGCACTCAAAATGAAGATAAGTGATGGAGTAGCGACACACAGGAATACAAACTGGGGCCAGACACACGTAGTCGTTCGCTCCTCAAACAACGATATCGATCTCCTCCTCGCCGTCGAATGTCTGGGAAGGCCCATATTAGCCTCAGTCTACATCAGCCCACACGGAGAGAATTTCGTTGCTGAACCCATACCTGATACGGCTATGTCGAACGCCGACTTCCATATACTTCACATTACTGGAGTTGTGACTAAAGCATGCTTTTATCTCATCCAACTGGCAGGGTACCTACATAACGTAGTGCCCTTTCCGACCAGAAATGATGCCCAATACCATCATTTGTGGGCCGAAGACCAATCTCTTCAAGTGGAGAAAGTTAGCTTCTCTCAGTGATCATTCGGATACCTTAGCGCTTCCAAAATGTCTAGATAGCTATGATGCAAAACGTGAATGGAGACGTCAAAGGAAGAGGAACAGGGAACGCCTGCAGCGTGAATTTTTTTCTATTGACTGAAACATGTTTTTGACATACTGAAATCCGGAGATGATCTCCAATTATCTCAAAATTTGTTACGATTTGGCTATTTCTATTGTAAAATTGAGTTGGGATAAAATTTGAAATGGTGAAACTAGTAGACAGAGTCAAGTTTCCTGTTCAATGTGATAATGAGATGCTGCCATATTGGGATAGCATCGTGAGACGAACAGAAAGACGAGCAGACACAAACGCGTTTGCGATCGCAACATCGAGGTAGAGTGTATTGACACGGATTGAAATTCCTAAATAATTATTAGAGAAGAGTCAAGCAAAGGTGCAGGTCAAAATTTAAGAGAATTATCTGAACAAATTCTTCATAAGGTTCGAAAGAATGGAACTTTTCGTTCTAACGTACTTTATCGTACTTTATCATATCATGAGTTATGCTCCAAAGATGGACATAAATCCCGGTGTCAGACTTCACAAAGCTCCTGAAACGAATGAGGGCATCTCTCAATACAGGAGCTGATGGCACTCCTTGAGTGAAAAATACTTACGCGGAAGTTTAGTTGAGCTACTCGACTCAATCTTTACATCGCTGACTTTAGACTACAGAGATTCCTACAAGTCTGAAAAAGTAAAAATTTCTCCCATCCCAAAAAGTCTAATCTTAACTAACCCAAGGATAATCGCCCTGGAGGGTGCACTTCCTCCATCCTGCACCTTCTTGATTATCTCTAGAGGCGCGGAGCTGTCTCACAAGACCCTTGGCAATTTTCATAAATGGGAAGGTCCACGAACGATGCTACAGTTCATCTGTTATATCAGGTCTTCTCGATGTTCAATTCTCGCAATCAATAATTTTCATGATGGGTTTTTGCAAATTTTAACTCCCTTTTAATTGAAGGACTGGAAGGAAATCTGGTCTACAAAAAAAAAAGCTTCTCAGCTTCATAAGGAAAGAGTGAATGTTCTAGAGAAGAATAACTCCATGAAACACTGATATAGCAGAAGCCTTAGAGGGATAGTTGCCTGGAGGAGAGATCCACACCCGTAAGTCAACACTGCTAATGAAGGCATGGCGGAACCAATTTTCATCGAGTAGCCCTCCATTTAGTCCTCCTGAGTAGAGGATGAGTAGGGGAACATTCGCAGGAGAGTGATTGTCTACATCAATGATGTTGCTGAAATATTGAAAATCGTATGCTTGACGCTACGACTCTCGACTCTACTTTCCTCGAATTCTCTCAGTTCTGCATTTAATATATGGGAGGTTTTGATTTTTCCTCGAACAGGGAAAGTAAAAGTTACTTTATCTCTCTACATACACTATCGCTCTCTCTCTCTCTAGATGACGATGAGTCGAGCAAGGAATACTCACTGATCTGGGCATCCGCGACGTGTGTATTATTCCGGTCACAGAGCGGGGAATAAGGGAGGCCTAGGAGGGATTCCATGTCCCCCTGCCGGAAAAATTCTTCCATGAGCCTCATGGTCCAGGGATGATGGAGCCTCCAGCGCTTCCCAGGGTGGGAGATATCCGAGCAGTGGAGAACCAAGCACAATGCCTTCCCTTTGTCCACCCTCGTCTCTGGGCCGGGACCACTCAGCATCCCCTTCATGCTCTTCACCTGCAGGGGCCCCATTCCTCATCATCCAGTTGCCTCCAATCACTTCCATCACAGTACTCGAATCCTCTTTAAATTAACCACCAACGTGTATTTAACCGCTTATTTATTTACCTTTTCAATCACGTCTCTATTCGCATTCAAGCCTGCGTATTTCCAAAGAAAAGTCACGTTGAACGTAGCAGAACAAGAGCAGAATAATAAATATTGGATTGCAAAAGGTTAAAAGCGAGCAATCGATGAAAACGTAGTTAGAAGAGTGATTGGAGCTCCAATTATCGAATCCCATGGAAGTACAATTTAATTAGGACTTTCGAAACGAAAAAGGTCATTCAATTACTTTCTGTAATTATTTTTCTTCCAAGAAAAATAGAATTAGGCGCTTCGGATTTCATGTACACAGACAGCACTGCTATCGTTCCCTCCACTTTTCACTTTTGGTCTGAATGAAGGAGCGTGAGGGTTACCTGTTGGAAGTGCGAGGACATGTCTGTGGCGAGGATCATGTCGATCGCCAGGGACCGGAACTCTCGATACTCCTCCTTAGTCAGACTTCGAAGGACGTTGCACTCCTCTTCCTTCAGCAACCTAGAAAATATAGGGAAAAAGAGAATGAAGGGAGGAAAAAGAGAGGGGGAGAACAAAAGAAGGAGGAGGCACAATATAATCAATCTTGGCATGGTGTGAAAAGGGGGAGAAGAGATTGGGTCACCCGGAAACCATCCAGGAAGAGGCGCTTCTTTGATCACATCTATCTTTGATCACATCTCTCCCGGGGGAGATATACGCGGAAAATGAGTTGCTTCCTTTTTTTTATTATACCAGACTCGTGGGCGAGGCTAGGTCTAGGACCTCTTTAGTTCCTTTCTCTCGAACGCATTTGTTTTTCAACAGGTGGTTGTGGTACCTGAACATGGCAGAGGCGTGGTGGTTCTCGAGGACGGCCCGATCGTTGTAGAGAAGGGCGACGGACGAGCCAGAATTGACGTGAAAATTGTTCGTCGTCCCCGTGTGCTCGTAATCGTGCGAGATGGCAGCCAAGAGGGACGCAAACACCTCCAAATCCGACATCCAGTTCTGCGAGCCACGTGCCAATTAACGTCACTTATATAACCATGCACAAATGGTGACGAGTGGATGAAGCCTACCATGAGGCCGGCGGAGTAAAGAGCGTAATGGACGGTCTGGGTCACATCCGTGGCGTGGATGTTGTTGTGGTACGGGTTCCCGTGCTTCAGGTAACCAGACTCCATGTGAGTCAAAAAGTTAACCAGGACGCTCGACGGGATCTATGGGGAACAATGACAGGGGAAGGCCATCAATGATTCCCGTCCTTCCGATTGTTAACTTGGAGTAGATCTTAGTGAGTGATGAAGACACATTCATGTATAATCAGTAACTACGAAATTAGGGGTTGGAAAGGCACTATGCACTGCACAAGATGCAGCAAGTGGAATTACGATGAAAGATTGAGACGTAGCAGTTCCTGACCAACCTTGAACTTGTGAAGGAGGCCGTATCGATTGAGGAGTTCATATCCGAGGAACTTGAGCGGGGCTCCACCGGAGGCTTCGTGCAAGGCGAACACATCGAAGTTCCATTCGTCCAAGTGCTGTCAACGGAGGAAAGGAAAAGTTTCCTGCTGTGAAAAAAGACTCCAAGGAACGGGAATGGCGTCATGAATCATGATGAATCATGACTCCTAATTCATGAGAGGAGAAAACAAATGACCGAATGGCAAAGTTTCGACCGTCCTCCTTTTCCCAACTTCGATAAGACCGAACTTTGATGCCTGGCTAAGAAAACGCAGGACTGGCCAGAAGACCGCGTCCCTTCAAGGACCCCTGACATTTTCTTCCAGGGAGAAGTTCCTAAGGCGGCTCAAATTTATGCGGATCTAATTTTAGTAAGGAAAGGGAGAAGGTTTCTCCAAGCAGGTTGCGTTAATTGCATCGACCCACCCAATCCCCTCCTGACTCATAGCTACTCTCCCGTTACACAATGATATAGATGAAATCGACACTGCAAGGCACGTCAGGAGGATTGGAATTATCTGGAGAGAGAGATTTCCAGGATGGGCAATCGAAAGAGGACACTTGATTCCATCTCGGTCTCTGGAGTATTATCATAATCAGGAATAATAGAAATCTGCATGCTAATGAATTCGTTTCTCAGGCGTAAAGGGGTGGATGCTGCAATAGTCCTTTGATTTTCGTATCGCTGCTTTCCGTTCACCTTGCACCGGCTACTCAACTCCTATAGGAGATAAGTAACCGGCGTAACTGAATTATTCCACAAGACAGACTTCGCACGACGAAGTCTAAATAGGGAGGGGGAAGGGATTAGACCTTTTCTCCCTATTTTCAGACCCAAATCCCTCGCGTTTTCAGAGACTCGGGTGGAATCACATCCCTAAAACCAAGCAAACAGGACTTGGGAACGGAAAAATCGCATGTGTGGGCATAAATCACCTGCGAGTAAATTCACGTCACATCTTCCGCTGCGAGAAAGATTAAGCTTCAACTCTACGAGAGTGCGACTACACTCTGCTGAGGCTTTGTTTCACTTCTTGGCAGCTGGATTCTGTCTTAGCTTCTAGAAGAGCGTGTTCCGCCAGGATCAATTATCAGCACGATCGAGATCCAGACGGTTGGAAATAAGTTTTTGCATTCGTGAAAGCTCTGCTCCACACCACCCTGCATCGGGACGCCGAAGCCATGCAATCTCATATATTGATGTTAAACCCTTGCGTTTTTTATTCTCGACAATTCGTCCATGTCTGGACTTCTGAAACTCAAGAAACTTCGGGCTCCCGTTCAGATATAATTTTTTTTATGTTGCAACACTGCATTACAAATTATTTGCCAGATTTTTGTAGCTTTTGGCTCAAAAGTGCACGTTCAGCATTGCACTTTAATATAATTTTTAAATTCCAGAGTGAGAATTTGATAAAATATTATTGACATGCCTCAGCACGTCACGAGTCAGAACCCTCATGGTAAGTCGTGGGACAGTTAAACGCAGACGGCTACCTGCCATCGCTTTAAGCGGATGAGCTGAACGTATGATGATCGAAAGTTTATCCACGGTTGACTCCTTCCTTTCATGGCATGCATCCTTCTATGTGCCAGAAGCTATTCTTATTCAGATTTCGCCGAACGAGAACAATTTACCATAGCTTTTGCGTCTCAGTCAATCAACAATCACGAAGAAATACTTCATTCCGAAATCATCTCAAGAGAGAAGTGGAGACATTTCTTGTACAGCTGACACTGATCCCCAGGGCCTAATCACCCGGTTTCCCATGAAAAGTCAAGCTGAGACGCAGTTTCAACGCATCCCGAATATTGACTCTCAAATTTTATATTCCATATCGAGCGATTGTTATGATGTTTCAATCATCTACCTCGATCTCTCTGGTTGTCTCAGACTTGCTTGATACAGCTTCTACTAGCAATGCAACTGCGAAAATTCTATCGTTTCCTATGAAAATGAAGATGAAAGATGAACCAGCCTATTTCACGCTTGAAAACCATTTCTCCTCCGCAGATGGAATCCGATATCCTCCGAATCTCGTGAAATCGCTTCCAGACATGTTTGATCGAAGAATCCTGATCTTGGCCTTGAATCGCGCCCAAGGATAGTGCATTCAAAGCAAGGCACTCGAGACTCCTCCGTTTTCATCAGAATTGTTTTCCTCACAAGCCATTTCGTCGTGCAGACGCATACTTGATATGGTCGCATAGAAGTTATACTTTTTTTTCGGTCTCATTCATTTTTGCCGCAAGGAAACTTGCCAAAGTTCTCATTTAAAATTCAAAATTTCCGTTTGTGCAAATGCCATTCACGTCAAAAGTTTTCCACGTCATGCGTCCTTTAACATACACGAAAAGTAAGATTTGTATGCGTAGTCTTGAGATCATGTTGAAGGGTAGGTTTCTACCCGATTCCTAATTTGTTCGTGTTCTTGATGTAGTCGAAAGTGATTCCCCATATCTGAGTGACTTCAAGAGTCCTCTGGGATATGGGCTTTTGAAGAGGCCCATGTGATTAAGGACTTCAGTATGACACAGCTGACTGGAAGATACGAGAGCGAAAGTATTTTATTGTAAAATAGTTTTTCTTCCTCTCATAGGAAGAAAAACTATGTATAAATTATTTTATAACAAAAAAGTTATGTTCGATGGAGTTACACAAAGGGAGTAAAAATTTGTGAAGAAATCACATGCCCGATGAAGTCTCCTTCGACTGAAGTGTCTTCCGGAGACGATCATTTTCAAGAAAACGCATCTTAAGAGGTGTCCAGAGACATAAGAAAATGTTGACGATTGTTAAGGCCACCAATTGACAATCAAAATGCTCCGTCTACTTTATTCTTCATAAGTCAGCAGATATTGTCTCCTAAACTGGCGCTCAGTTCTTTGGGACAGAATTCCAGACCTACTTACGAAATACGAAGACAAAGCTGATCCGTTCTGTGTATCATCCCGAAGCCAGTGTGAAAGTCGAACCCTTCAACCGTGAGATAAAAAAAAATAGCGCAGTCCATCACCATCTCAGTAATGGCTTGGCAGCAAGCTCTCACCACAGTCCTAATGGTCTGTTGAGCTCATGCTACGACAGGTTCCTCTACGTTCCAAGTCCTTTGTGGACGAAGGATGCGTACCAAATTGGACAGTGACTGTTTACATAACCATTTATCTGTCGTGGGATCTCCAGTTTGGAGCTGTATTTGCAACGCGGCAGTTATCGAAAATGATACATGAAAGCTGCTTTCGGGTGAAGTCAACAACCTATTGTCCATGTTCATGTTTGAGTTCCAGACATAGGTGGAGTGAATGGTCTTTGAGACCGAGTCCCAATAAATATGGTCAAAATTATGCTTAGGTTTGAACAGAGTATTATTATCAACGATGAAATGAGTGAATGAAATTAATTTAAAAACATTCATTAGGTTTTACTTGTGTGCGAACCGCGTGAGGATGAGCTCTGGTAAAAATTTGAGGAGAGGGAGGGATGAACAGCCCTCTAATCATCATCATGGCAGATGAAGGACGATCAGGGTAGGCGAGAATTCCTCTTAAGGAATTCTCGTACAGGAATTCATGTCTTGAACATCATGCTTGTGAGTGGGCTGATTGGAGTGGGATGGGGGCACTGGGTTGTGGGTCTCAGGCCCACTCGTTAGTTCCCAAGCTCCGCTAATGATACCCAGGAACTACTACAAAGGCAATCCTAGATTTGGTCCTCCTCAATGCAACTATCGACGTATAGGTCCTGCAGCTTACAAACTATAAAGAGAACATTGCTGTAATTCAAAACTCCCAGTTTGCTGTCCATGATGATTTCATGCTGTTATTTGAATCTGAGGGTTATTCTGGGACTGCCATTGCTTACATCAACCAGTTGATTGGAAGAAACAGAAATATATTCCCCTACCAGCCTATCTCAGCGATTGCTTTTTGAGTCCTTATTTTTTTCTGAATTCGTCAGAGGGAAGATAATGCGCCATCCCTGACTAACTTAGCGATCGACTCGGCGTTGGTTTGTGATACTGAGAGTTCCCATGATGGAGGCGTTTCTCATAATTCCATGTTCATATGGTTTTTCCTCTTTCTGAAATATGGATTGACTCGGGACTGTGAATGATTTTGCATTCATCACTCAAGCCATGACAGCGTAGGACACCAAATTAAAAATTGTTCGCTTGGTCAATATCAAGCATACTGGAAAATAGGCACTTTTGTACTTTCACTATTATGTCAAAACTTTGAATCCCCGAAAGACGCATTTCTTTCTCGAAATCAATTTGCATGTTGCTTTTGGGTTGTATGACTTGGAATTCAAGTTTGTCTTTCACACTTCAGATTAAATTCAGTGCTAGACCAGTACAGTACGTAATGCTCCCAGAAAACACATCGACAGAGAAGCAAGAGCCCGACGGAGCCTCATTTATCGAAATGGGTTCACTTATTTCTGCTCTAAGTATCAGTGCGCTTTTACTAATATATTATTAAAGTAAGCTTAAGAAAGTGCGACTTTTAGCACTTTAACCCATTGGAGTCTTTTGACGATCTGTAGCCGCTCACTGAGTCTTTTTTTTTTAGCAACGAAACGCTCGAAAATATTTGAATCCAATCCAATGGGTTGAGTACCAGATTAGTTCTAACGCCCCCAAAATGCACCTTTTTTCAGTTAGTCGAGTTCAGCGGTAAATCATTTGTTAGAATTAGTCAAGTGGTTTTTGTTCTTGGTCGGTTTATGCGCTTTGGACGCCAAGTACATTTTCAGTTCCAAATGAGTACTTGTAATCCTAAAAAAATGCAATCCCCTTGAGCGTGACTAAGATTCAGGGTGCATGGGGAGATTCGGGTTATTTTACCATGGTATTAATTTCTTCTTTCCCAAAACTTCCCAATCCAGTCGCCCACCCTAACCGGTTCGGTTAGCAAGAAAAAAGTAATAGAATAATTATTCGTTACTCGTTTGCTGTTTCTTCGGGTACGGAAAGGTTCAGCGCTGCTTCACACCAGCGCACGGGTTTGGGATTGCAATGCGGTCTAAAGAGACAACCTGGCTCTTATTCCATAGTATAGGGCTCAGAATTTATGGTATTCATCTTAGAAGAAAAAAAAAAAGGGCTTGACGTGAATGAGGTCCTCTAACCCTAGAAGTGCCAACCGTCAATAAAATCGACGTTGGTAGGCTACCGTGCTGCTTCTGGCACTTCTAAGGTTAATGGGGGCATCAAAGGGAAGGAGTGGATACCTTAAACAAGATGGTGACCCCGGGAGGGTAGTGAAGGTAATGGGCGGCAGAGGGTCGTCGAGAGATCCTCTCGACGAAAATGCCAGCCCGGATGGCATTGGCAACGGACCGGAACCGCGGTTTCTCGTCCGGTCTCCGCCGCGTTCCTTCCCTGCTTCCCTTCGTGAACGTGGATGCGAGCCACGCCCGGACTTCTGGTGGCACCAACGCAGGCTCCACCTCGGACAACTCATCCTCATCCTCCAGCGTCCTCCTACAACAATGCGTATACCAAGGTTCATTTCCACTCTGAAAACCCAGCAACTGACTCAAATTCATCCTTCAAGTCCAAACTAAGTCCAGAGTGCGACGGATTCACGATGTCGACTCTTGTAATTCCCAAGCTGACTGCGGCTCGGAATAAGTTCATTTCATGTCCGTCATTCCCATGAATGGAGGGAGTTTCGTTGTCAAGACCACATAATTTATCATCATTTCAATGAATCAAACATTTACAATTCGAATGACTGTTGGCAATACTACAGCACTAGTCCCATGATCCAATACATACGACTCTATGCACCGTCATTAGCAAAGGTCGCTAAAGAATTTACTCAGCATTTTCTTATTAATTAACTCAGAATGGATGGAGAAGGTTGTGGACATTTTCAAAATATATACATCCTTATCCCACAAGTTTTCATCTGCCCTGGTGATAAGGCCTGCAGTGGACCAGATCTAACGGCGTTAACAGAGTCCTGCATTTATCCGTTGAAGGCATGTGTGCCTTTACTCCTTCGCAACTCGTTAGTACATCGACTGACGAAAAGAGAAACACTGGGCGAGTTGAATGTACAGTACAGTATACACACGCGCAGTGGATAGACAGTCTCCTCTTTCAAATAAGCAGAAAGGAAAAAAAAATCCTCTTTCCACACGACACCTTCGGGATTTACACACGCGAAACTCTCTTCGAATCTCTCAGATGCTCCTTAGAGAAATCTCGAGCCAATCAAATACCTACATCATACATCAATGGAGCAGAAGGTACGGTAGGAAGAATATTCCCTTTGAAGAACGTCATTGTTTCGACCCCTTTAATCTCGGCCTTTGATCCTCCAAGATGAAAGGGCCCACGTGGTTGTCATGGCAACCGCCTCCCACACCATCACGATTCACCGTTCCTCCGAAGTCACGCGAAGGTCACAAGGTGTCCGTATGGGCATTTATGCATCCACATCTTTGTCGTGGAAGGAAGTTGGGATTAACGAGGAGGGGGTCGTGATGAAGAGCTTGGGATGAGAGATGTAGTCGAATAATGAAGAGAGAGGGAGAGAGAATTCTGTCACGTTCTCGTACTTGACCATAATAACATTCCCTTTCTTCCTCTGAACTCCATTATCGAATTCCTTTCTGTCATGACCTTCCTTCATGCCCCAAAAATCCCATAACTTCTCAGTGGAGAAACTTTAAATTGCCTCTGAATAATTCCTCGGATTTCCACGATCCTACCTAGGAGGTGTAAGTGCTCTCCGTGATAGACTGTCCTGAATCACGAAGTATCTGCATGGCCGCGATTGTCTGAGTATTCCTGTCTCGAAATAGCGTGTGGCCACGGAGACACTCTCTGTCTCTCTCACCTCTTTTTTTTCTTTGACTCGGGACATCCTGGAGTCCGGATTAGATTTTCGTGTTATTTTTTTATTTCACTTTTTTTTTATCATAGGAACAACGTCATCCAGAGAAGAGTTAGAAGACGTCTCATAAGTGACTGTGATTTCCTCTCGTGAATTCTAGATCCGGTCGTGCATGAATGTCCGACAAAGGGTTCCTTTCGTGATCGCGAGGCAAAAGCAGTTCCGCTCGCGCTTCCATCAGGAACGTCATGGACAGCAGTGCCCCCCTATGTCCACACGAGACTCCATTCACTCGTTCGCTCTTCTTAGTTTCCCATTCGTATATCGACTTCTATACAGATTCGAATGAATACACGATTCGAAGAGGGAAAAAAACGAAAAATGCCGCAGTACCCTCGTGTATTGATGAGAAGGCCATGAAGGAATCTCGCTCGCTCTCCGCTCTCTCTCTCTCTGTCGTATTCGTGATTTGTTCTGAACATTTTGCTGATATTGTTGGAGATGAAAGGGTAGGGAAGGGAATAGAAAATCAATTATGCAGCGAGAAAGAGGAAGGGAATGAAATCTCTGCGCGACTGAGTTTGTTCTCGGTACTGGAAAAGATCAGAAAATGAGATTACCCTTTTAATGGAATCCATCTCCTCCCTTCTATGAGAATTATAATTGAGGTTAAGGTTCAGGTTATCACTGCTGCAGACATGTAACAAGATATTCCTTTGTCATCGTTCCTTCTTTCACCAATCCTCTTATCTCTCTGTCCAATCTTTTTTTGCTTCATTTCTTTTTTCATTATCACGAGGTTTTAGATTGGCTCGTTCTCAGAGTCAATAATTGATAGCTGATCGATGCGGGAACGGAGGGACCCAAAGGGGTTTCACTCATGCTCTATTTCTTTTCACATCCTCTCATTTCAGGACAATTTATTCCCTCCAGTGCTTGACCAGCCTTCATGAGCCTTTAGGCATATTTATCATTCAGTTAATATAGTTCACTTTCGTGACCTTTTTTTTATGAAATGAACTCTTCCGCTTACTTGTACTTGGAACACGGCTTGAGGCGATGGAAATAGAAATAGGAATGGGGACAGGGGTGAGGTAGGGACGGGATTCTTTGGAAAATCCGGCATGGGGGGGACCCGTTGATCGCCTCCGTCGGGAATCGTTTCCAGGTAAGCTAATGAAGATGAAGTGCCAACGTCTGTCGATAAACTAAAGGGAGACCCTAATTCCGCGTCATCGAAGGAAAGGGAAGGAAGGAAGCAAGCAAGAAATAGGAGAAGAGATGGGATATTGACACAAGGAACCTGTTCAAAGAAGAACCCCCCCCCCGGTGAATAATACAATAGACCCCAATATCCTTTTTTCCTCCTTTACTTCTTCCTTCCATCTACTGATCAAAATTACATGAGCCTCATTCCCCCGAATGTCTGCTTTCACCTTCCTGAGAATTACTTATTACAAGGCATAGCAGGGGATCCTCTTCCTCCCAACCTGTCCGTCGTCACACCTGCATGAACAGTGGGAGTCCTTTAACGATCAAACAATTCGGTTGGGAAATTCCGGATGCCTTTAAGGAATTTCTGGCCTCATTTTTTTAACTTGATCAAATCAGGAATAATAATTGAAGCCGAAACTCCTTCGGTCCACTTGCTCGATCATTTAGGGAGCGGAAACGATTCGAGCATTCGTCTACCGCCTTAGTTTAGTTCGTGCACCAGGCACATTATAAGAAGGTCCTCCACCGGTCAGGCTCAACATGGCATGCGCGGATTCGGGAGGGGAGAAAAGAATTCCATTTTTAGAATTCCTTCCCTTTTACTGCAGATTGGCATGCAGGTAGTTCGGCAGACATGCTTTGAGGGGGAGATACCTACGGTACGACGAGGTGAAGACAGCAAAAAAAATATACAAAAGCATTCGATCTATGTGATAATTATAAGAAATTGAACGAAATCGGCCTATGAAAATGGTAGGAGGGTGAGTGGGAATGATGCACGATATACAGAGTGTCCGGAAATTATATTACCAGTTGTGCATACCTTGAAAATAAAAAGTAATTGCCTAAAACATAAAGGAAAAGCAAGTAACATATTGTGACACCTATGAGTAGACTGAATTGCAAAGCAACTAATGAGGTTCCTAGACCTCGACAGACCTTGGAGCCAAGGACGTCATAGGATGGGAAAAGGAACAGCTCGTATTTGATCTAGCCGAGTAAAATAATTTTCAAACACTCTGTATATATACGGGGGAATAAAATATATTCATGGGATACCGTTTGACGACGTCCTTGCCCCGTTCTTGTTCCTCATCCGGATCGGAACGGAGTAGTTTCCTATCGACAGACACAAAAACATTTCACCCCATGCAAAGACGCTTCATTTATTTATTTACAAAAAAGAAACATGGCATAAATTATCCCACACTCTGTCTCAGTGTGTTTGTTAAGTTTTTTATCGTCTGTGGTATGAACCCCGGGCGGTTTTGTTCCAAGTTCTTTCTGTTCGACGGAAGAGAAAGGGAACAATTTGCAGAATGGGTTTTCTTTTCAATTTTTGCTTTGAAAACGTCTGCACCAGCTGTCTCTCTTTCGCGAGTGATTCCCGGAGATAATATGGAAATGCGTGAGACTATTTCTCCATCTGCCTAGGGGAACTTCACAAGACGAGAATGTCTCCCACATGTTTCCTTTTCCCCCTCAAGGCATGATGAGCCTTCCCACAGCAAAAAAAATCCAATCCATGAAGATTATTCCAGTCTATCAGCGCAACGGATGTCGTTTTTGTCTGTGTCGAAGGGTGGTGTTTGGAGGATATGTTGTCGGGAATGATGTCGATGGAAGGGGAAATATAGCAATGATTTCAAGCAAACCTCTGTTCTTGTTTGTAGAGTTCCTCGAGGACGTGGACAGCGTATTGAAGGTGTTCCATCACGGTCCCAGGATCCTTCATCTCGGATCCCATTCCCTCCTTCAGGTCCTTCATCGCCTCTCGAAGCCTATTCAATCATTCATGCCATTGCAAAGTCAAAGAGAGAGGAAAGGGAAATAGAATAAGTGGCCTTGGAGGAAGTAAAGTGATTCTACCGGGTGACGCAAGAATCGTGACCTGTTTGACTAAGTGCAAGTGTAGAAACGCTACGTTCGTAATTTATTTTGCGTCGTAGAGAAGACGCTTCCAATTTGTTTTCTCCCTGGAAATTTGAGGAGCTTAGGTATTTTAGATAAAAGGCAACAGCCATTCAAACCTCAGAAACAAAATTCAGCTTCTCGATGAGTCAGGTCGGTGTTATCTCAACACTGGTCAAAAGATATCCTTCTTTAAGAGCCACGAAGACTCTCTTTTATGATTGCCTTCTAGAAATGGTATTTTTGACCTACAGTGTCGTCAGGCTTCAGCTGAGAAAAATAATACCTCCATGTGATGGTGTTTTCCAATGGTGGTTCGTGATATTCAGCAGTAGTGGATCGTCAATGGAGGCAGGGTAAGCCCGGGCCTACCCTACTTCCATTAAGAATACACTACCGCTGAATATCACGAGCCGCCCAGGGTGTTTTTAAGTAGAAGGACTGAAGAGGGAAGAGAATAATCAGAGTTTCCAATCAAATCAAGGACTTTCCTTTGTTGTCTCTTCCTTCTCCTGCCCCTCTTTAAAGCTCACATTTATAGCAGTGAATTTTGCCCTTGTCAGCAGCAACATGATGACACTACACGGTCAAGAACATTGTATTCAGGATGCAGTCATAAAAACAGACTTGTTGACGATAATATATATCTGTAGAGGACGGCTGAAACCGCTGCTGAAATCGATACATGGAATTTAAGCTTAATATTCTTTATAAAGCATGAATGGGTATTTTTCTTTACCCAAACAACCCAGAAACTTAAAACCTTCAGGAAATATATTTTAGAACATTTTCTCTCTTATATAAAATGACATATAGCATTTCCACATTAAGTTTTAAAAAGCGTCAAGCACGACACTCTTTTGCGCCACTCGGTACTTCGAAACTCCGCAAAAAATTAGCGAGTCGAACACGCTTCGCGAGAGTACAGGAAGTTTTGAAAGAAGGCTGGTCAAGAGGAACACTAGAAATTCAGTACAGCTGCAGGTATGAAATTTATTTCACCTCAGCCCCGAATGCTGAAACATCTTAATGGCGATATTAAAAAACTTTTAAGCTTAAAAACTCTTTTTGCCCATTTTATTTATAGGTTTATAAATTACCGCTAGCCAAAAGAGGCTTCAGCCTTTGGAACTTACTCTGCGCATTTTTTACTTTGGGCACTTAAAAAGTAGCAATAATGGGTCATAAGTGAATAATGGATAAAAGCAAATAATAAAATGGCAGATTTAAAAGTCAAAAAGAGAGAAATTAAAATAAATAAGACAGAAACTCGTGCCCTTGCAGCGAAGTCGAGGATCAAACATTTCATCCAAGATATCATCAATGCTTCAAATATTCTTTCAAAGGCCCTCTCATGTTCAGCTTCACTCTAGCCTATGAAGCCAGGCGAACTCAAATGGAATTCCCCAAGGCCTTTAGCTCGTGGCTTTTGCTGAGAGAAGGGAGAGATAAGATCAGGCAGACCTGATGGCGGCTTTGTTACAGGACTCGGGTGACCGAACCGAGTTGTCTTCCTTTTTGGCATGGTCCTCGCGACCGTGTCCCTGAGGGTGAGGGGTAGCGGGTTCCTCTTGGACATGCATCTGTCTCTCCATGGCCCGGCTACGAGAACTGGATCGTCGGAGGATCTTCAGGGATCCCTGCTCTGCTGGAACACATCCAGATCCGTCAGCGGAAGGAAGTCTTCCATCTCCCCTCCTAATCCTTTGCCCCCCTACATTGATATGCTAACCAGGCTCCGCTATTCCTTGTAGTAACGCTTTGTTCTTATGTACAACACAGTTTGCTTGTATTGCGCAAACAGGCCTCCTTGCCTTTAAATTTTAGTGTCCCCCTTAATTAAGCTTTAGGATCAATTTGGACGACTCCTTTCCATATTCTGCTGCTCATTTTATAGCTCGTGCAGGAAGGTTCATTACACCCATACTGGTTGGATGACATATGGATGGATGACGTAGGCCTTCTAACTTGACCACGACGCCACGATTCTTTGTATACCTTAAGATGCTATAATATTCCACTTGGAAATGGTCCATGGAAAATCCAAGCAAGTTTAACGCTGTAACTATTGTTCTGGGTCCAGGACCCTAATACAAAAATTTAGCCATTTGTGTAGGCTGCGCCATGAACTCGAAAAGTCCGATACTCGGTGTATTTTCATGAAGACATGTGATAGTAATTAGGCAAAAGTTAAGCAAGCAAAGCTTCATTTGAAATGTAAATATTGTATAATACTCTAACTTTCTGCTATAACAGATCGATCATTTTCTGTTTAAAATGCATCAGAGCTAAAAGAAACTGTTTAGACTTTCCATTTTGCGATTGCTAGCGCTTTCTTGCGTTCTTCTGCTCTTCTTTCCTGCTGCCTCGGAGTACGGTCAATATTCCTTTATTGCGAGTTAAACGATACGCTGCTTATCAGTGGGCGAGGGTCAGCCGATATGATTGTGGGTAATACATAAGTTACACCCTTCTCTCGTGACTGCATGCAGGACGGTCCCGTCTTTTTTGGTATCGTTGTATGCTTACAAGTATGGAGGGGTAGGCAGGGAGGGAGAGGGCATGGGTGGATCCGATCGATACTGACAGGGAAAGAGTACCACTTGGGCGACGTGCCGTGTATCGAAGTTCGAGAGGGGTTCGTTTAGCTCCATCAACAAAGCTCTTAATTTCAGCTCGCTCCTTGACTTGTAAGGCGAGTGGTGACAAGAATTTGAGGTAAATGATGGCCTAATCGGATACAAGAAAAGTTTCTGGTGTCATGTGTTCGCACACAAATTGAAAGCGAACGGGAGGGGAGCCCCTCTCAGAATTCATCTGCCGTGCATGCTTGAGAGATTCTGTCAGTAGAAGGAAGGGAAAGAGGGGTCAATGTTCTTAATTATTCACCTTTTCAGGTTCCTTTCCGGTCGCCCCCAGATAGGGTATCCACCGAAAATTTTCCTTTATCGGCTCTCGTTATTTTACCAAGACTGGAAACTGATCTAGAATTGATGTGTCTTCGACAACTGGACAACTTCACTCATTCTTTCCCGTTTATACCCTCTCTTTATCTTTCATATAAAGTCTTGTGTCAATATTTAGAAATTTGCCTCTGAGGAAAATTCCTCCCAGGTGCTTTCGAAGTACAGAACATTTTTCAAGATGCAAGAACTCCTAACATGCATAGTCTTTTGCACCATGTTTTATTAAATATCTTTACCAAATTTTCCAAAGGTTTAACCAAATTCTTTTTTCTGCTTGCCAATTGATCAGTAAGTGGGAACCATATTCCCACAAGCTTTTTAAGAGAAAATGGAGACACCGTTCCCATATTTCTTGCAGGAGCTATTAAAAAAAAGTTCCCAAAGCAGGCTTGCAATTAATGGAGCTTTCTCCACTAGCTGCTACTGCTCCAGGTCGGACGTGCATTCCTTCACGAAGCTGGGTTCATTGCACTAATAACTCGCTGTCTACTTGATTGGGAGAGAAGTCAGGATACCAGGCCGAGTTCTGTCCTCAGCTGCATCATTTCCCTTCGTTGATACTTTTAATTGTGATAATTTTCCCCCAGATGCTGAAATTTGGTATTTCATTTTAATTAATAATATGTCAAATTTTAAAAATGAATTTTCATATATCAGTGACACTAATAGTTTAATCCAGACAACTGCAACAATAAACTCACAAATATCTGATCGTACTCTGCATTGGGAGGGCAGGTGCCGCAGAACTGACGGTATCGTATGAGAAGACTTGAATATGATGATTCCGACCGCGATCAATGAAACCCTTGTTTTCCATTACCCATGTTATATTAAAGCGCGGGCACACACACACACACACACACACACACACACACACACACACACACACACACACACACACACCCCACACTCACGCTGACACACCCACAAAGGGGGAGTTTATAGACAAGGGAGAGAGAGATCTCTCGTGGGCTATTGCATAGAAGGTTACCATGGAAACAGTAGGGGCGAAAGGTTTCCAGGATAGAATCTCTGATGATGAGGAAAGCTGGAATCTTTCTCGGAATCCATCTAGATGACACATGAGCTAAAGTTTGCTACATGAATGAAATCCCGGCTCAAAATTCGTCTGTCACGATTCCTTCTCAACCCTGTTTCATCCCTGGCCGGATCGAGGAGGGAAGGGAGGGAGGGGGACGGAAAAAAAAGAAAAATATAAAAAGAAATATATAAGATTCCCAGGGTTGGTTTCATACGAGCTCATAAGTTAAGCCTCTCAGGTAACCTCTAAACGCAGATAATAAAAGTTTACCTGATTCCAAAAAAATAGGTCGCACAATGACAACATATACGGAGACTCATCAAAACGCTCCCAGACTGAATTGGCAGCTTGAACCTCCTCAACGTCATCAAAACGTCACATCAGACTTTAACGTTTTCTGAAGGTGGTTGTAGGAAATGGCCTGCAACCTTGTTTCACGCAGGATGAATCTTTCACACTTTTTTTCCACTGGAAAAAGGTGTGACCGACTAAGGAATCTACGTTGAAAATCACGTGGTGGCGCGATTTCCTCAATGGATTGATAATAAAAATTCAGTCTGGAAAATTTTTAAAATGAGTCTTCGTTTAGGGTCCTTTTGTGAGTCTCAAATACCTGTTATATACCAAATATCTGCTTTGAAGAGATAACCATTGTTACAGATTGTTATCGGGGAGCTGAGAACATTCGTTTTCATTCATATCCGATCCGACAATATTGAAAAGGATATATCGCAGTCTCAGATGAGAATGAATGCCGAGAAACAGCGATTAACCTCTGCCTATTCTTGCCTCCCGGTTGAAGGAGATATGCGATTCCATCTTCTTCTCAAGGGAAATATTTTCATTTAGTCTCACAGCCATGAAATATTTTCAAGGCTGTGAGACTGAATTCGGCCAGGTCTTGTAGGAAAGAATGAGGAAGTGCGAACGATTCCTCTTGTGCAGAAGGCACATTGAACAAACGTATCCTCTCACCCCCAAAAAGCATGAAGTCTATACTTTTCTGTTCTAACATCCCCCCCGATGGAGCGATGGAGGCAAGGAAAGGAGAAAGCGTTTGCCCGATAAGATCCCGAACCCCAAGGTTATATGGCCCTTCTTGGCTACCGTCTCACACATTCCCTATGATCATGCCTCATTTCGTTCTTGCTAGGGACGCGAATTCAAAGGAGGATCATGTGTGGCTCTGCGTCGAATGGGACTCAGGATTTTAGGCGATTTTCCCTTTCCCAGCCGGGGATACCCCACCGCTCATGTTTTATTTTTGGAATGGTATTTTTAAAATGCTCATGAAAAACAGCGATTCCCAAAAGCGCTATTATGATGAGTTGCAAGGAAATCACAAAAAAACGAGACATTCGGAAATTATTTTTTTTTTATACGCTGCAAAGCACAGGCTCAGAGCTTTCCCACTAAGAGTTGTTAGGTTCGTCAATTTGTCGCAGGGTCACGGCAACATTTAGGGGAGTTTTAGATTAAAGAAAAGCGAAGAAAGGGTCTCATGAAAATTTACGCCATTTCTAAACGGTCCAACTTTCAATAGAAATCATTCATGATTTAAAAATAAAATAAAATATTCGCGCGATCTATCTTTTATGGCCTCTCCTGCACCTTCTCCAGCAGTTCGTTCCTTTTTTTTTATCGCGATGCATCACATATTGTCGTGAAAAAGTCTGGACTTACTTGGAACCTGACCGTTCTTGCCGGAGAGAACAGAATCATCAAGGCTTCGCCCCTCCGCACTCGCAACTGCAACACAATGATATCCCCCATGCAAATTTATGCCAACCGTTCTTATAATTAATTCTTGGGCGCATAATCTCTTGAACTTCTTCCAGGTTTTCTCTTTTTTTTTTATTCGAGCCACGCAACGATTTCTTTTTCTGATATTTCCCCCCTGCATGGTGGAGTAGGTTTGAGAGTGATGGAGTGGAGAATGAAATCCAATGAAGGAGGGCCCGGTTTGATTCAATTAGTAAAGTAAGTGACAAGAACCTCCACGCCCTCCAAGGCAGGAAAAAGTGCGGAAAAGAGATGAAAAAGAGCGAGGGATGGAGAAAAAGAGGGAGAGAAAAAGGCCATAGGCCCTATGTTGCAGCTAAGACTAATTGGCCGCCTGGAGTTTTTCTCGTTTTCCCTTCCATCACTCACCTTATGGGCCTTGATTATCCTTCCCTTACTTTTTCTCTCAACCAGTCTCCTTGCTTTGAAGAAGGAATGAGGCTCCTTGTGCAATCGTCCACATATTTTTCGGCTTGCGTCAGAGCGAGTGCCTTTCCTCAACGTTACCAGATATAATAATGCGCAATATCCACTCAAATTGCTTAAAACTCCCAAATGTGGCGAAATTGAAGTACACTCTATAGTCTACATGATAATTGAATGCACAAGGGAGATGGCCTGCATTCCGCAGAGTTACTTCAGCAATACGTCAACAAACCCTTTTATTCTACAAATATTTCTATCATATTCGCTCATCTGTACGACGTTCTGTCCTTCCAGTCTCTCGGGTAATAAAGAAGCCATCCTCCCTTTAATGTGAAGCTTTTTAAGGATTCAATTCCAAATACAGATGTGGAAAGAGATCACGGGAAAGCGTCAAAGAAAAAACGCAGCATACCATACCCTTTGTTCAAT